AGATATCAAGTAGGCATAACATGTTCTCAAAAAATTAGGGTTGGCACGCAGGAGAATTTTGAGTCAGAGATTTTGCTGGTTTTGGCACGCACTCACAAAAAGGTTGCCCACCCCTGTTCTAGGCTGTTGAACATGCAGAGGAGCTAGGAGAGTAGCACTCCCAGAGAGGGCACCAAAGCTGCACACCCTTTCCCCATATCTTGTCCTACACATCTCTTCCCTCTGAGGGTCAATTTATAGCCAATCAGTCAGAAGCACAGGTGACAACCTGGACTTACAATTGGCATCTGACATCATCTCCAGGTAAATGGTGTCAGGACTGGAGAGCACCCAGCTGGTGTCACAGAATTGTCTGGTGGAGGGAAACCCCCCACATCTACTTTCACAAGTGTTGTGACTATGAGAATAAAGGAGACACACAGTATAGTTTTCTAACACTGCAAAAGATGTGAACAGACATCCAAAGAAGACATGCATGGCAAGTCAGCACGTGGAAAGATGTTCAACATTGTGAGTCATAAGGAAAAGGAAAAATAAAACCACAAAAAGATGTGGCTCTACATCTTTATCTGTAAAAATACCTTTATTCATTCAAAACAGAATTGCTAAAATAATAATAAAAAAAGACAGGCAATGCCCAGTATTGGCAAGTTTAGCAATTGGATCTCTGATGCATCATTGGTAGAAATGCAAAATGGTCTGTTAAACAGTTTGACCATTTCTAATAAAAACAATTTAAATGTATACTTACCCTGAGACCTGAAATTTTACTGGTGGATATCTACTCAAGAGAAATGAAAACATATATCCCCACAGGTGCATACATGAATGTTCATACAAGTTCATTCATATAAACCCAAACTGGAATCAACCCAAATGTCCATCCTCTGTAAATGAACAAGGTGTGATCTTGTGTACAGCACTTGGCAATGAAGGAACAAGCCACTGACACACCCAAAAAAAATGAATTACTCTCAAAACACTAAGTGAAAGAAATCTATTTATATGAAACGCTAGAAAAAATGTAAATTTTATCAATAAGCTGACACCCCCAAAATTAATTGCAGTTGTTTTATGAAATATAAAACAACAAATCTCCTAGAGGATAATACAGGGGAATATCTTCATGCTCTAGTAAAACTAATAATACAGTTAATAACCAAGAAGTACTAACCATAAAGGAAAAGACTGAAAAAATTAATAACATTAAAAGTAAGAAACTCTTGACATCAAAAGATACCTGTTTTTTAAAAAAAATATTCCAAAGATTACTTAAGAGAGTAAAAAGGTAAGCCACAGCCCAGCTGGTGTGGCTTAGTGTTTGAACGTGGACCTATGAACCAGGTGGTCATGATTTGATTCCAGGTCGGGGCACATGCCCTGCATACTCAGTGGGGGGTATGCAGGAGGCAGCCAGTTGATAATTCTCTTTCAACAGTGATGTTTCTATCTCTCCCTCTCCCTTCATTTAGAAAACTGAAATAAGAAGTGTCTGTACAGATAAGGAGCAATGAAAACACATTGCTGGAGGGAGTTTAAGTTGGTATTTTGGAAATGAGGTTGCTATTACCTACTAAGACCCAGCAATTCCTCATAGGAGTACGAACACAGATATATGTGCATCAAGAGACATGTCTATGAATCTTTTTTCCCACTTGCTGATGTCATCACTCAGAAGAGCTTCAGATTCTAAGTAGCAACCAACATGCTTCTATGCAGAACAACTTATACCAAATTATAACAAATCCCCTATGAATCCACCTCTGGAAAAATACAGGGAAATACTAGGTGAAATGTCACTGGATTAATTATGGAGCTTGATATTTAACATTTTGGCATGCTCCCTAAAGAGACAGAGGATACCAGCTTAAGCAAGTGAGCATGTGATGACCCTAAATCCTCAGATTAAAAAAGAAAAGAATGCATGCTTTGATGGAAAAGTAAAGCTAAACAAGGAGGAGACTCTCCTGTGAGGAAGAGCTGCCAAGGGGTGGGGGGCCCACCCCATGGGGTTCTAGTGAGAAGGCTGGCAGCCTTCTCACTTCCCCTGGCTGGGAATGCTCTCTCTGAGACCTCCCTAAGCTGAATGTGTCCTTCCTTGTACTTTTTTCTTTGTCCCGTTATATTTCAAG